ATGTTTGGTGAGCCTGACTATTGTTGTCGAGTTGGTCACGCATTGAACTTTGGGCTAAATTTTGGGAAACTATAAATAGCCTAAAAGAGAGAGAAATTGCATCAAATTTTGGAAAATAATTTCAGTTCAAAGTTAGAGTTTTAGAGAATTAACTTTTGAACTCTTAGCTAGAAAAACATTCTTAGTTTTTGGGGTTTCAAACAATCTTGTGATTGAGAATTGAAGGTTCAAATTGAAGTGGGTCTTGAAGATTATAACATTATTTCAATTCCCCAATGGATGAAATTATAATGGGTATACTTTTTTTTTTTATAATGCTTGGCTAAAACCCCAAATCTAGGGGGGTGATTATGTGGTTGAGTGTTGATTTATTGTGTAATGGGTTTTGTGTCTTGCTCTGATTTATTGTTGTAGATTCATGGATTTAAACTAATTAACATAGGGTTAAATCATGGTTAAGGTTGCAAACTTAGTCCTAGTCTAGATCCTCGATTGATTCTCAAAAGAGATTAATTGTGTTGGGTAATTAGTTTAAAGTCAGCAATTTAGATTTGTTTACTATAGTTTTCTTGAAAGAGACATTGTGGTTCAATTCTAGCTGCCCGAATTTGCTCGAAAGAGAGATTCTAGTAAGGTATTGGGTTGATTTGTGATACACATAGATGAGACCGAAAGGAGATTCTACGATTTGATGTAATGAGACTGAAAGAAGATTAGTGTTATTTAAGATTACCCAGCATATTCATGATTGTTTAGCGATAACGAGCAAGCACAATTACCCTTAATTGACATCGATACCAAGCCTCACACTCCTAGATCGTATTTTACTTGTTTGAAATCCTAATTTTAGTCTAATTGTGTTACTTGATATCAAAACTTTTTTTCGTAAATTTGGTGAAATCATCCACCTATTTCTTTTAATTGTTGCAAATGAATTGGTTTACACTCTTAATTTCCTAATTGAATTTCTTGCATTATATCATTCTCTGTGGAATTTGACTCAGGCTCTTAGTTGGGTATTATAATTGATGACAACCATTTATTCTCTTACTTGTCTTGAGGATAATTTGAGTGTTATCATATATTTAAGTAATTAACTCCTAAACTAGTGAGATTTATGTAAGTTTTCATTTTTTTTATATACTGCATAAGATCTTCGGATCTCGCTCTTTTATTTTTGTTTCCTTTATATACAAATTATCATATTTTATATTAATACTTATTTCAACGAAGTTAACCCTTAACACTAAATATATCACAGAAACATTATTCACATACCTGGTCCTTTCATTTACAGAACTACCATACACTACAACAAAATCAACTTTTAGCGACAATAAATATAGACATTAATAAATAGTGATAAAAAATTTACTGGCATTAGTTAAGTTCCATTAGAATCAATGTCACTAAAGGTTTTAGGGACATATACAAAGAGTTTTAATTGCCGCTAAAAATACATATTTAGCGGCAATTAAGAATTAATTGCCGCTAATGATCATTTTTGATGTAGTGATATATCATTTAGTCTTTAAAAAATTACTTAATCAAACACTGAAAAATATTTTAGAACAACTTTCAAAATGTTGTTGAGTCAATTCCCTAAATAGTCACCCAGGTTTAGAAATTTGCGTTAAAATATCAGTTATTTTTCATTTAAGACCTAAATATCACTCAACTATCACTATTTTCCTCCAAATATACTTGACACTTCAAAAACCTCACACTCTCCTAGTTGGCATGACATGTCATTAGAGTTTTTTTTTTAATAATAGACTAATTTGATTCATTAAACCCATTAAACTAAAATAATTATCATATTATTTAAAATATATATATTTATATTAGTTTATTAAGAATAAATCTTCATACTTAAGAATCTTTTATCATAATTAAACTTTTTATTTTTTTATGTTATGAAGAATATGTTTTTAAAACGTACTATAATATCATTAATTTTGAATACTTATAAACATATAGATTCAAAGAAAAAATTGATATACAAATCACTCATGAATGCTAACTTACATCATTAATCATAAATTTTAGGGAAAATGCATAAGTACCCCCCCAGCCTATACCCGAAATCCCAGAGACACACCTAACCTTTACTAAGGTCCTATCACCCCCCCGAACTTAATTTATCTATAATATTCTACCCCTTTTCGGCCTACGTGGCACTATCCTTGAAAAAATTGTCAACATGCGCTGGGCCCACAAGATAGTGCCACGTAGGCCAAAAAGGGGTAGAATATTACATATAAAATAAGTTCGGGGGGTAATAGGACCTTAGTAAAGGTTAGGTGTGTCCCTGGGATTTCGGGCATAGGCTGGGGGGTACTTATGCATTTTCCCTAAATTTTACAATGAATCAATAATATTAAATGTCAATTAATTATAATAATAAAATTAATTGTGTTTTCTGAAATTCATGCTTACAATATTTTTTTCTTGAAAAAATAGAAAGTGAATAGTACTATTACTACTATTTTTTATCCAAAAAAAAAAAACGCTAAATATCTCAAAATTCTCCTTCTATTCTAGTTGATATGTCATGTTATTAAATAATCATTTTAAAAAAATAATAGATCTGTTTAATTCATCAAACTTATGTCTCTACAAAACAAATATATTAATTACATGAGAATTTATGAAGATTATAAAAAAAATTAAAAACTAATTCCTTTATATATTTTTACCAAACAAAATTCAATGAAAAAAACTTTATGTGCAATTATTACTTGGTAATTTTCGAAATCCCTAAGTAAATTATTTGAAAAATTTAAGCAATTTTTTTCATAAAAGTATTCAAATAAATTTGTAAGGTTGACAAAAAAGTTGGTAAGAGAGAAAATTATTATTTAACTTTTTTTAATTTAACTTGTTATTTTTATTCTTTTATTGCTATATTATATTATACTATAACTTATCATACAATTAAACACCAATATATATATTCTTATCTCATCCCAAATTCATGAAATACAAGTAATAATTAATTGAATTGCCTATTTTAATTCAATAATATACATATTATATGAAATTAACATACTGATAAATAAAGATCAAAAAATTATTTTCTAATATAAATATTATTCACTTTCTATTTTCTTTTCAAAAAAAGATATTGTAAGTATGGATTTCAAAGTATCCAATTAATTATTTTTAATAGTTAATTGACTTTTAATATTATTGATTCATTATAGAATATATGATTAATTGATGTAAGTTGACATTCATGAGTGATTTATATATCAATATTTTTTTGAATATATGTGTTTATAAGTATTCAAAATTGATGACATTATAGTAAGTTTTAAAAAATTACTCTTCATAGCATAAAAAATAAAAAATTAATTATGATAAAAGATTCTTAAGCATGAAAATTTATTCTTAATAAACTAATAGATACTTTTTAAAAAATAATATGATCATTATTTTAGTTTAATGGTTTAATGAATCAAATTACTCTATTATTACAAAAAAAAAATTAATGACATGTCATGCCGACTAGGAGAGAGTGAGGCTTTTGAAGGGTCAAGTATATTTGGAGGAAAATAGTGATAGTCGAATGATATTTTGGTCCTAAATAAAACATAAATAATATTTCAAGGCAATTGCCTAAACTTGGGTGACCATTTAAGGAATTGACTCAAATGTTGTTCATAGAAAATTAAACAGTGTCCTCCGTAGCAAACATGTATAAAGTCCTTTACTACGAGAGAAAAAGAGGAATAAATTAAAAATCTTTATAGTCATTACCCAAAAATATATTAAATTTGTGATATTGCAGAAAACAACTAAAAGAGAGGTGATACTTAAGTGGTTAACTTATTTACGTAATAGATACTTATGAATACATGCAAAATAAAGTTCTAAATTTAAGTCAAAAGTGTTATCTAATAGAATATTTTATCATGTGTTCAGGTGCTAAACCAGAACAAGATGTAATTCAAGTTTTTTTAATGAAATTTATTGACAAATTTAAGTGGCGTGGATGTATTATGCCAAAGGTGGCTTATGAAATAAATTATTGTTTATACATAGATAAAATGTATCCATTTCGACCAAAATTTTAGAAACAAAAAAAATGGGGGATGCCATTCAATCTTATGAAATATATAAAATACTATAGTTAGATTTAGTCGGACCTCAATACGAAACTGTATAGGAAAGCTAGCTGACAGAAAGAACATTTAGCGATGTGAGACCTAAAGTAAGAATAGGAAAGAGAGAATTAAGTGTAATTCCTATCTGTCTTTTAAACTCAAAAGTAAAGAGTAGTACTTTTTGGTCCTAATTTATATGATTTATATTTCTTTTAGTACGTCTCAAATAGAATGATATATTTCTCTATTTAATATCAATTTAACTTTAAAATACTCATTTTATCCATACAAATATCTATAACTTATTTTAAACTACAATTTTCAAAAGTTTTTTTGTCTTTCTTAAACTTAGTGTCAAGTAAGATTAACTGGGACGGTTGCAACGACAACACTCTTTCTTTGGAATTGTTAACATTCATTATGAGTAATTTTAGTCAAATAAATTAAGAAAAAGGAAAAATGGATGACTCTCATGTCAGGGTCATGCTTAACAAGACAACTTTATGGCGTGTGAAATTTGACAGAAAAGCTAAAGTTTCAGTCTTTTGTATTGTAGACTGGAAACATGAGTCCTCCAAATAAAGAAACTTTATTTTCTCTGTCCACTCAATTTTAGTGCATGTCTTGATGAGTAGAAGCACTTAACCATATGGTGTTATAAGCGCACAACTCATTCTTTTCTACTCCTAACTCAGGCATAGAAATTGTTGTTAGTCAGACAAGAATCAGAGTATAAATGAAACTCACAAGGGAATTTCAATTCTTCAAAATGGTGACAGAGATGCATTTTTTTGGGAATTGTGTGTTACATTGGTGTTAAGAAGGAAACACCAATCAATATAATGTACACAACAAGAAATTAATACTAACAGATTTACAAGAAGAAGAATTATGGGCTGTAGCTGTTTCAAGATTTCTACTTTTGTAATTTGGTTTATATTCTCTGTTTCTCCTATTTGCTCACTGGAAACTGAGATAATTTCGAATCAGACTTTTGAAGCATGGAAAGAGAAGATGATTATTAAAGATCATCTCACGAAAATCAATAAGCCTTCTCTCAAGACAATTCAGGCATGTTTTACTTTTTTCTTAATTCATGTCAGAAACAGCCTCTCTACCTTCTCGAGGTACTTAACGTACACTCTACCGTCTCCAGACCCCACGTAGTGAGATTAATTTTACAGGATATGTTGTTGTTGATGATGTTTTCTTCCCATTTTCCTCTAATAAAATCACTACTTATTATTGATGCAGAGTCCTGATGGAGATGTTATAGATTGTGTATTATCTCATCAACAACCAGCATTTGATCATCCTCACCTAAGGGGAAACAAGCCTTTGGTAAATCACTTCAAATTACTCATTCAAACTTGGTTTCCAAAAACTGAATTTATTCCAAAATATTTGACATTAACAAAGTGTATTTATATACCAATAAGGATTGTGATAGAGTGGTAAAGTATCCATTCATTTTTTAACCAGAAGTCTCGAGTTCAAGTCTCCCTAGTACAAAGTCGTCTTTGTTAGAGAGTGTTTTACCCCCAATGTGTATATACTATATTTAATTTAGCACTAATATATTTGTGATTGTAGAATCCTCCTGAGAGTCCAAATGGACACAAGTCAAATCCTAATGAATTGGAAAACTTTCAATTATGGAGCTTGTCTGGTGAAACATGTCCAGAAGGAACAATACCAATAAGAAGAACAAGAGAAATAGACATTCTAAGAGCATCCTCTCTTCAAACATTTGGCAGAAAAATCAAAACACCAATTCGAAGAGACACAATAAGTAACGCCCATGAGGTTCGTTTTTTTCATCAATTTACAAACTTCTATATATTCACAACTTCTTCTATATAAGTATTTTGTTTTTTTCATTGAGCAGCATGCAATTGGATACGTAAGTGGAGATGAATATTATGGAGCAAAAACAAGTATAAATGTGTGGGCACCTCAAATATCCAACCAATATGAATTCAGTTTATCACAAATCTGGATTATTTCTGGTTCGTTTGCTGATGATCTCAACACAATTGAAGCTGGTTGGCAGGCACGCATTCTCCTTAACTCATCTACTCCCTCTATTTCTACTTTGACTTGACACAGAGTTTAAGAAATAAACAAGATTTTTCAATTTAAAGTTAGGTTAAATATACCAAAATATAATATATTTTAATCTTGTGGCCGGTCTTAAACATGTCACGTGGAAAATTGAAATTAAAATGCTGTCAAAAAAAACAAAGGGACGTTCATTCTTTTTTAAACGGACTAAAAAGGTTCTAGTCATATTATAAAGTTTGATTGATTTATCATTAATATTTAAACAGGTTAGCCCAGAGATATATGGAGACTATTTTCCAAGATTCTTTACCTACTGGACTGTAAGTTGTTGTTACTTTACTGTATATAAATATATATATTTTTATTCCACCTATTTAAATTTAATGAGGGGATAATTAATTGTATGTAATTACACAGAGTGATGCATATCAAACAACTGGATGTTACAATTTGCTTTGTTCAGGATTTGTCCAGACCAATAATAGAATAGCTATTGGGGCTGCAATTTCTCCAACATCCTCTTATGATGGTGGCCAATATGATATCACCATATTGATTTGGAAGGTAATTACTTTTTTAACCCCAAAAACTAAAAGTGAGGTCGTGGTGATGGGATCGGGGCGTTGGGCTATATGATATACGTCACTTGTGAAACTTGTTTTCTCTACTGAACTCATCCTTCTTGTTAGAGTCTGAGGTTTTAGTTTTGGCAGTTGATTTTCTAAACATGGTTCTATAGTTCCAATCCTAAAGTGTTTTTTCTTCGAAATGTATGTTAAAAGGAACTAAACTTGGAAATCATTTTATTTAGCTGGCCAGGTTAATTAGCAATAGCTTGGAAATGTATATATATAGTATATATTTTTATTGTTATTATTATATGTAGGGGAGGAAAAGAGAAATGGAAAAGTAAATTACAAGTGAAAGTTCAGACAGTCAATTAATTATGTTACAATAATTTCCCAAAAATATACTTAATCTTTCCTCCCATTCATTGACTACAAATTTTGAATTCACTTCTAAGTCCGAATATGTAAACCAATTGATGGATCGAATGCAGGATCCAAAGCATGGGAATTGGTGGCTAGAGTTTGGGTCAGGAGTTGTTGTAGGTTACTGGCCATCATTTTTATTTTCACATCTTGGGAGTTCAGCAAGCATGATACAATTTGGGGGTGAAATAGTGAACACTAATCCTTCTGGATTTCACACATCAACTCAAATGGGAAGTGGTCATTTGCCTGCACAAGGATTTGGAAAAGCTTCTTATTTTCGAAATTTGCAATTAGTTGATTCAGATAATAGCCTAATACCTCTCACAAATCTCAAACTTGTGGCTGATCATCCAAATTGTTATGATATTCAAGGAGGGATTAATTCTGTTTGGGGTCATTATTTTTACTATGGAGGTCCTGGTAAAAACCAACATTGTTCTTAATTAAAAGGTACTCCCTCCGTCCCATTTTATGTGGCACTTTTCGGATTTCGAGATTCAAACAAGTCTATCTTTGACCGTAAAATTTTCATAGATCTTTTAAACATTTTGAATTATCAATTATTGTGACTTATAGTACTTTTTACGTAGTTTACAAATATATAAATTTCATTTCAAAACAATTGAAGATTTCATGTACAAATTTTCGATCAAACTTAAACTGTTTGACTCTCGAAAAACAAAAAGTGTCACATAAATTGGGACGGGGGAGAATATGTTATGGTCTTTTTTTTTTTTTGTTTTACAGTTTTAGGGTGATAGGGCTTGGGTTTTTCTTTCTATTCTACTTTGGGTCAAAAAGGTGATCCATCAGTTAGTTATACCACATGTTATTTAAAGAAGTGTGAAAAGGGAAATAGTGAATATAATATCGACTAGTGTTACTACTTGTTAATCAAATACACAAATAAAAATCTATATAATATTTAGGGGGGATAAGGGTCTGAAAAATACCTCAACTTTGGTCGGATTTGCTGTTGCGATACTAAACTTTCACAAGGACCTATTACCTCCCTAGACTATTTAATACCGTATTTTTACCCCACTGAACTATTTAATAGTGTATTTTAAAGGTATATATGTGCCCACGTGGACACATTACTATTTATAATTTTGCATTATTTTTTATGTCCACGTGGGCAAATATGTATATTTAAAATACGTTATTAAATAGTCTAGGGAGGTAATAGGTCATCATGAAAGTTTAGTATTGCAACAGCAAATCCGACCAAAGTTGGGATATTTTTCAAACCATTATCCCTAATATTTATTAAGTTTGATTTTAAGTAAAAACATAAATATCTAAATAGAAATATTAACTTAATTGTTTTTCAATGATCATAATAAAACACAAAAACTATGATAATATTCCATAGGTTATGGCCTATGTAGTAATTCGCTAGAAATTTTAGGAATTTTATTTTATGTAGTACATATTTTATAAACATAATTGGGAAATTTGTATTTAAAATTGTAATATTTCAAACTTTAAACGGATTTTGAGTGTAGAATCCTGTAATTTTAAGGAAATATTACAGAAATTTTATTTTTATTTTTTAATTAATTTTTATTTGGCCCACGGGCCGGCCCTATCCATATTTTCTCAAGCCCCACAAATCGACATGCTTATTCAGGCCGGACTAAAAAGCCCTTTTCTTAAATGGGATCCAAAAATCGTAGTCCAACCCTATCATATCATGGGTTAGGCCAGACTGACCAACGGGCCTAGCCCATATTGACAGCTCTAATATTTTAATAGATTTTTGCGTGGGTGTACCAAATACGTCTTCCATTTCACAAATTACCTAGTTATTACAGCCATCATCATAATCCATCTCGGGAAAACAGAAAAAACCATACAAACGACCAGCATGCACCAGCAGTCGTGACTCTTGGGTTTAAGCAAATATGCAGCATTGAAGCCGTTTTTTTTAAACAGTATATGGAACATGAACTTAATCAGCAGACATCTTTATACAAGAAAATGTAGCATACAAGCAATAAAGTCAAATAAATAACAAAAATTGGCACAACAAAACAATTTGCTTCAAATCTATGAGCTAAACCAGTTCATCTCCTGCAAAGCAGCTCAAAGCATTGGAACTGGTGACTTATTCGAGCCTCGGGCAAACTTAATTGGATTGGATCATCATCTCGGTGTGGTTTTACGTAAGTCTCAACTCATATTCACCAGCCATGGTAATATATCGCACCCAAGGAAGAGCCTGATAACCACTTTTTTCAATTATCTTCAAGTAGCGAACCTAGCATGCATTAGAGGATCCACATTGGTCACAACTTTTGCAAATAAGCGGTACCAGCTAAAAAACAAAATTACATTTAGGCTGTCGATGCGGTAAGTTCGCCAAACTAAGCCCACAATAAAGGTCATAAAAGGCATGATATCGTATCACGTTTTCCATCACCAACCAGAAGAACAAGATTAGACAGAAATGTTCAATACTAAGTTCAAGAGTTAAGACTCACAAAGACTTGTTTGGTTCTCTTCTTTAGGATGCGGGGACAATCAGGCCTACACATTTAAGTTGGTTCTGTTGACTTCATCACCTCATACGTCACTTTATCAAAACTCATTTAGAGTTCCTCAGCTTATCAACTTGTACTACTACCTGCCTCCAAACCATGCTCCCTCTCAAGGATAATAAATAGGGATAATACACTTTTTCCCCTGGACTTGTCCAGTTAATCCCAAAGAACACTTCAACTTTGCGGGCAACCTATGACCCCTTGAACTATTTCAAAGTGGAATTATTTGGCCCTTTTCTGCTGAGTTGGTGAAGGTGTCCTCCTGCGGGATTTTTTTCCCCATTCTTTGTGTCTTTCTTCCCTGTGCTGCTGAACTCACATCCTCCATTTTTTTTTTCTTCAGCTTGTTACTCTTTGGCTTCTCCTACTCTTTACTCTTTTTCAGTTTTTTCAGCTTTTTCCCCTTTTTTCCCTCTTATTGTTTTCTTCTTCAGCCGACTCTTCTTGTTCTTATTTTTCCAGTTTATTAATTTAATTGTATTAGCTTTTTCAGTTCTTTATTTTTATTTTTTCCGGCAGGTAGAAATTAGTAGTTAATGTCTAAATTAATTTTCTCTTAATGCATTGAATCCTCGACTCATAATGGTTTCTCAATACGATGGACTAAATGTGGACATGTATAACTAGAGTGTTGTAGGAATTTGACAAAAAGAAAATACTGAATAATCCAACTGAACTACAGCTATTTAGGACTCACCTGTATACCCGAAACTGTAAAATATGGTATCTCAAATTTCACACGTATAGGAGCTTTTCTTTCAGGAACTGCTTCTTCTGCTGTAATGCTGGGAAGTTTAAACTCTGCTCTCAACATATATTCCTGAAAACGAAATAAGAATTAGCATAAAAGAGATCTCAGTGAGAGAACAAACGGCAAAAAATAACTGAGTTAAACCTTCAGCTATGACTAAGCGCACGCTTACCTTACCACCTGGAAAAGATTTTATCTTCCAAATCAATGCATCCTTTTCAGGTGCATAAGTAGATGATCCCATTGATGTACGAACATCTGGATTAGTTGCATCAGTTGGAACGGGCAACTCAATTTCAACGTTAGTTGCAGTGCTGAAATTGTCAAATAAACTCAAAACTTAACCAGCAACACATTGTAATATCATAATGCATGTCATCCAAGCTCCTACAGATTAAATGATGCAGCTACAATTAGGTGTGTAGCATAGTACAAATGGACATACCTTCTCTCCTTGAACTGGCTTCGTGCTTTAACCAGAATTTCCACACGGCTCTTAGAATGTCTTTCCGCTTGGGCTTCTACCCACACAAGAGGCTTTACCTGAGAGTAAGTAGTACTCACGTTTTAACCTATTGGATCAATGAAGGGACTAAAAAGATTTCAGTCAGATAGAGAGCACCAAAACATTATTGTACCTGTGTACTGAGTCTGTAGGTCATAACTTCGAAAGCCCCATCAGGAGGTATGAATGATATAGTACGATCATTCTCAAATCGGGCCAAACGCACACACCTAAGTTAAAGTAGAAGTTATAGAATGAGAGACGGGCGGAATAGGATGTAAGTGAGGGGGAAGGGAGATTGGTTGAGTGGGAGAGAAATGGGTTACAACTTGAACGTGGTCAAGTTATATTATAGAAAAGCCTTCAGATTTTTTCATTTTAAAAAGGGCAGCAAGGATTTTCCAATTAAAAACTGAGTACCACCCACTCTCCCCCCACTTGCTTACTCTATCGGAAGTTTTAAAAGATTATACTACATTTCCCAAAATATCATGATTTGTCCCCCTACTCCCACACCCACATTGGGCCAATTCTTGCATAAAGAATATATGCAAAAAGATGTTATAACACACAACAAAAGATATAGTTGAATCACATACTGATGAAACTTGATATCATCTAGATCAATAGCCTTCCCCTTAGCATTACGTCCTTGTGCTTCCAGCAATACTCTATCATTCAGACCAAGCTTACACTCCGGCATACCACTGCAAGAGAAAAACATTATGGCTTCAGACCAGTACCACTTGATTAAACGGCTGGGTAAAGAATAAGATCTCAAAATTGAGACTAAAGAAAACTGACGTGGTGCCATTTGCAACTGGTTTACATTTAGCAGGAATTGGATTGCATTTAAACTAATGAAAACCTTATGGGAGATTGTAGACACGCAATTTTTGACCGAACTTAAGGTCTTACACCATTTCTAAAGCTTAAATATTTTATAAAAATCTAAATTAAATATGTTGACTTTTACCTTATTTTAGTAAGTTTATTTTAAAAAGATTTGAAATTAACAAAAAAAAAACTATCTATTTTCTTTTAATTTAGATTTAATAAATAAGCTAGTGTTTCTTAATTATATTTTTAGACTAGCTATTTGACTTTTCTTATATTTTATTAATTCAAAATAATTAATTAATATTTTTATTGTTATGGTTTATATATATATATATATATTTAAGCTAAAAATAATAATAACCTAAACTACCCACACTACCCCACTTCACCTTTCAACCCCACTTACACCCTATGTTGCTCGGACTCTTCAAAATGCCAAGGGGTGCGTGTCGGATTCGCCAAAAGTAGTGTATTTTTGAAGAATCCAAGACGGGTGCGGCATCAAAAGTGAAGAGTCCACGCAACTAAGCTTTACACCTATCCCACTACCCACTCACACCACTAAACACCCCCACACAAACCATCAGAAAATCACACACTACACACCTATATACTAAAACACATTGAATACATACGCACACAACTATCAGCAATACAGAGAAGAAAAAGAAAAACAAAATCAGCAAAGGAAAAACACACAACACGTACCATGAAAAAAAAGAAGAAAAAAGAAAAAACCCATTCCCCCCACTTCCAATACTACAACACATATATAGTGTATATATATACACAATACAATCA